TGGGATGTGCCTGGCAGCAGCTGTTACTCAGCTCCTGCCACATCAGATGAGCTGCAGTGTGTACTGGGAGCTGAGGCTGGTGCAAGAGACAGGGGAGGGGACAAAAGACACAAGTTGCTCAGGGAGTGGTTTTGTTCTTCACTGCTTTTGATCTTGCAGTCTTGTTGTACCTGGTTTTTGCCATCCTATTTATTCCGTTTTACCTGCTTGCAGTGTTGCAGAATCAAATTCTCAGAAACAGGTAAAAAATACCCATTCACTTGGAAAACCTGTGAATCAACAATGGCTGTTAAAACAAAATACACATATTTGCAGATGTATTCAAGTTCTGGTGAGCTTCAGTCCTCTTTGTAAAAACATGCCTGACACTCCCATGAAATGAGGCAAATTTGAACAGAAAGTTGTTTGCTGTGGTAAAGTGTGTTGCACCCCCCCCAGAAGCCTCAATAAAATTTTTAATTAAAGTCCTTAATAGGATGACTTACAAAGTTTAGATACTTTTAAGGTGCCTTTTCAACAGGCAATAAGCTAAAGGGGATATCACTTTGGGCAGATCATTAGAGTCCCTTGCTGCACATTCCAGCAGATGATCAACAGTGTTACTAGTTTCTTAGGTCTTCCACCATTCCCGAGCATGACTGGGGTTTTTTGTCTCCTTTTCCCCTGCCCTTTAGGGTTTTCTGGATCACCTGTTGCCCCCTGCAGCCCTCAGCCCTCAAGCAGAAGCAGCAGCTCCTCACCCAGGCTCTGGAGCATTGAAGGTTCACGTTGGAGACTGAACAACTCGTCTTAATGAACTAGGGCTGGAACAAAACAAATCAGTGCCTTTAACAATAGCAAATTTAAGAACTTTCACAGTTTTGATAAAATTCAAGTCACCTCATAATTACTTTTTTTTTTATTTAGAGCTCTTTGAATATTTTTTTTTTAATGCCAGTGCTTCAGTTCTTTAAAACTTACCTGCTGTTCTCTGTTGACAAAAGGCAGTGTTCCTGCTAAGCTGGCTTTCCTGCACTCTGCAAGCAGCTAGAAGTTATGTCTAACTGATAGTGGTATTTATTTTTTTTTTTAGTTAACTTTCTTTTTAATGAACTTTTTAAATAAAGGGAAATAGTAAAACAGGTCAAATCTGAGCCAAAAATATAAAAGATTGTGTCTTTCAAAGAACTATAATTTTTTTTATTTTGAGTTCCAAGGACTCAGGAATGCACTGAAATAAGACTGTCTTAGTGTTACTGTAAGCACTGCCTTAGGACTGGGAATGTGAAAGCCTGTGCCTTCTAAGAGGACCTTTCTTCTGGTAGTAAATATTTTTTAGTTGAAGGCAATTCTCTTACCTGTGTTCTGATATAACACGTTTATGTAAGTCAGGGCACACACAGAAGTACCTCAACAGAAACTGAGCCTCCTCTTATTGTCACAAGGCACCTGGTGCTCTGGCAAGTTCAGTGGTGCATTTGGCACTTGAATGAGCTGGTTCAGTCTGTGTGTCTCGGGTGCAGCTGAGTGCAGACTGACACAGCCAACCAGAACCTTCATTTAAAGCTGTGCAGGAAGATATTACTGGTGTGGCCAGACTTGGGAATATTTGTACCCTAATATCCTAATAAGTGCTTCTTTCTGAGTCTGTAAAATACAATGTAGCATTTAACTGCCTGAGTATTACTGTGGGGTATTTTTGGTTGACTTTCTGGTTTTCCTTTTGACACTCTAAGACACACAGCTACAAAATGCACAATTCTGGGTACATCAGAAAGTACTCTGCTCAGCCAGAAAGCAGATCCAGTTTGTGGCACAGCTTTGGTTCCACACAATATTACAAAAAAGCAATATTGTTACATGGTGTTGTACTGAGACTTGTGTACTTATTGACTACTGATGGAGTAAGTCGTGCCTTACATGCTAGTGCTACTTGACAATGTGGATGTAAATAATAATAATTTGTATCTGGATTATTTAATAAAGCTTTTTTAGATTCCTTTAGTATGCTGTTGATTGAATTTATTTTGCTTTGGCTATTAAGAATTTTCTACTAGACTATATTATTTGTACAGCCCCTCAGTATTTGCAGTCGTTATTTTTACACTCATAATTATCACTTTTGTTGGCAATGTCATGTTTTAAAACACTTGGACCATTTTTCTCCTAATATTTGTCACCTGGGGCTTTT